GCTCTCTGCGTCTCCCACCTGAGAGCCACCTGCTGCGCCTTCACCTGCCTTGAGCTCGGTCTCACGCCTTGAGCTAAGTGCCCCTTCCTCCATGCTCTCGCCCTTTTCTTCATTGCTGCTACTTCCTTTTTGCATGTGCGTTCGCATCCTTCCCCTTGAAACAATGCCACTGGTTGGGCCCGATTCGCATGCCACAGACCCCTTTACTTCAGGTAATCCCCTCAGGTGCAGGTACACCCCTCAGGTTAAGCCCGCCTTACAGTCCCTCAGGTTCCCTTGGCGTCTGTGGCTTGTTGTCGTGCCTGCATCAGTGGCCCCTCGCTTTTTCTTCCCGACCTGCCTCTTCCCCGTGTGTGCCTTGTGCTGCCGGCCATGCCATGCGACCTGACCTCAGCCGCGTGTGTGCGTGGCAGGTGGAGGGGAGGGGCGTGGGGGCCAACACCGACGCTACCTCACGTCCCTCCCCGGTGGCCGTGCAGGGACGCACACGGGGAGGCTGGGAGGAGGAAGGCCGGCAACAGCTCTGCAGCTTTTCAGTTAAGTACTTCTCCTTCCTGGCCCTGCCTTTGCTGCTCATTGCTGTATTTCGCTTTGCTTGTTCTGCATGTGCTTCAGTTTGCTCTTTGAAATCTCGCCACTGGTTGGGCCCGCTCTCAAGCTTTAGACCCCTCCCCCACAGTCCAGGTTTGCCCTCAGGTTCCCCTTTTCTAGGTTCTTACAGCCCCCCAGGTTCAGCCTCTCAGGTGCCCCTGGGGGTCTACGGCTTGTTGCGGCGCCTCCACCAGTGGCCCCTCCCCTCACTTCTCTTGTGGAATGTGCTGTCTCTGCTGCAACACCACCGTTCATCCCCTCGCTCTCCACTCACCAGCTCTGCTTGTGCCTTTGCAGGTGGAGGGGAGGGGCGCGGGGGTCAACACTGACGCTACCTCGCGTCCCTCCCCGGTGGCCGTGCAGGGACGCGGGGAGGCTGGGAGGGCGACAGCACTGCAAGTTTATTGCTGATGTTGCTCTCGCTTCACGTTTCACATGTATAGGTCACATTCAGTCATTTCTTCCTCTGTGTCTTTCTGCCAGCTTACCACTCCTCCCCTCCTGTCCCTCTCTCCTGGTCTCTCCTCCCTCCTCTCTCCCCGCCACCAGGTGAATCAGCATCAAGAGAAGCGTGCAGCATAGGTAGCTGAGAAGCAGACCGGCAGCAGCAGTTGCAGCAGCAGAATCAACGGTGGAGGCTAAGAGGGCGACAGTACTGCAGCTGCCACGAGGGAGAGTATGGGGTTGGGCTTGGCCTCTCAAGGTACGTTAGCTTCCTCACTGGTCTCATCTCTCTCCCCCTCAAGTTCATCATTGGTGTTGCTCTCTCTTCACGTTTTGCATGCTGGTCTCTGTCTTATTCAGTTTCGTCTTTAGTGCCTTTCTGACAACTCAGCACTTCTCCTGCCCCTCTTCTCCTGTGCCCCCCCTCCCCTCCCTCTCTCCCCAGCATCAGCGTCAAGGGAAGGATGCAGCAGAGGTAGCTGAAAAGCAGACTGGCAGCAGCAGTTGCAGCAGCAGCGGTCCCGGCGGTCACAGAGGATGGGGGCTAGGAGGGCGACAGCAGCTGCCACGAGGGAGAGTATGGGGATGGGCTTGGCCTCTCAAGGTACGTTAGCTTCCTCCCTGGCCTTATCACTTTACCCCTCAAGTTCATCGCTGCTGCATCTGTCTTAACGTTTTGCATGCTCATACTTGTTTTATTCAGTTTCGCATCCGTGTCTGTCTTGAAACTCACTTCTCCTCCTGCCCCTCCTCTCCTGTGCCCCTCTCCTCTCTCACTCTCCCCGCTACCAGGTCACTCAGCATCAAGCGAAGAGTGCAGCAGATGTAGCTGTGAAGCAGACCGGCAGCAGCAGTTGCAGCAGCAGAAGCAGACGTGCAGCGGTGGGGGGTGGAGGGTTAGAGGGCAACCCAGGATAGGAGTAGTCGTGATGGAGGTGTGGTAAGGTGAGGTACGGTACAGGTAAGGTATGTTTTCATCCCCTCCCTCTCTTTCTCCTCCCTCTTCCTCTTGCAGGCTGAAGGTGGGAGCACTGGAGGAAGGCCAGGAGAGTGAAGGACAGCCTCTTACTCCCCTCCTCCTCTCTCCCTCTTCCCCTCCCTCCCAGCAGCACCCTTCCTTTTTAATCCCCCACTCCCACTTCCCAACAGCCTCAAGCATCATGGCGCTCTGCTCTGCACGGCTGTGGTAGGTACAGGTAAGTAGGCATGGGGGTGAAGAGTGGTGTGGGTGGGTGGGGGAAGCATGGGAGTAAGTGGGGAGTTCACTGCCTTAGGGGCAGCATCCTCTGGAGTTGTGGCTTGTGGTTTGGGTGTGTGGTTGGTGGAATCTTCGCGGCACGGCATTCGGTGCTCAAGTAACCGATCCGGCGTTTAAGGCTTAATGGACACCGTCAGAGTCGACCGGCCGGCGACTCTGGTTCGCGTCAGCTCTAGCTACGTCGGGGGTGAGATTCGAGTCTTGGGCTGGTAGCGGTTTTTCACTGCCACACCTTGACCCACAAGTCACAGCCCCTGGGGGTGCTGTTCTCGAAGGGGAGTGGGCTGTCTGCTAATCCTACTGCTGGAAGGTGAGGATGGGAGGGGCTGGGTGGGTCGGGTGGTGATGGTGGTGAGAGGCAGTGGGGTTGGTGGAAGAACATGTATGCATGGTGGCACATGATGAGCTATATGGCACTGATGCCACCTGTTGCATTGCATGAGATATGGGGCCTGAAGCATGCAGGGGAAGGTGGGTGATGTTGGAGAAATTTCAACAGGTGAGTGGGATGAGGAGAGGGGCGTGAAACCTCCTGAAGGTGGGTGAGTGGGATGATGAGAGAGCGGGCTGAAGCCTGCAGAGGAAGGTGGGTGAGTGGTAGAGGAGATGGGGGGACTGAAGCCTGCAGAATAAGGTGGGTGGGTGGGTTAAGGAGAGGTAGGGACGAAATTTAGGTGGGTGAGCGGGATAAGAAGAGAGGTGGTCTGAAACCTCCACACTGAGGGAGGGGGAGAGGATGGATGGGAGGTGACTCTACGTGTTGTAATTGGAGAGACTGATATGTTGGGATAAGGTGTGTGCAGGAATGGTGTTGCCAAAAAAAACGGGAGAAGGCTTCTGGCTTCCTCATTTAGGCTGCTGGGCATCTGACGCTCCCACTTTTCTAGCAAGGGTTTGAGCTGTCTTCAAAGCTGTACGCGGATAACAAAATGTTTTTCAATGCGGCAAACTGCGAGTGTTGCCTTTTTCAGACATTTGTTTTGGTATTGCTTCAAGCTTGTTATAGAAAGTTATGAAGGCGATGGCTTATTCCTGAAATATATCTGCTGAAACGTGTAACAGAATGTACGGGAGAGATGCCAATTGTGCAATTGTTCTCTTGTGTTGAAATTGTAAGGGTACTTATTTTTTCCAGTTATGATTGTGAAGGAATATACGTAAACAATAGAGTATACGGTAGATGCGCAATTCATCTTTAGCGTTTCTAAAGCAGGACTCCTCGGAACCTCCACGTCGCAACGAAATATTCGTCGCACACGGTGTCCTTCTGGCGCTCCGACCCGATGTTGGTTCTGGACCCATGAGCCAATCAATCAACGGAGTCGCCCAGGCAGTCGCACACGTCGTCTGCTGAAGAAGCCAGTCGCCACCGTCACCTCCACCGACCTGTGTCCTTGGGAATACCAGTCAGTACCGCACTGGAACACGGAGAAACGCGCTAGCAATCAGTTGGTTTCAGGAACCACCCAGATCTCGTGCAGCATGAACATCCAGTTTTCATTCCATTCCACCTACGTACATGCGACCTTGCTGGATTCCGCGTGTTTGTGAGTGCGTATGACCTGAGCCAGAAATCATGAGAACCGAGACAGTCCACTGACGTTTCAGCAACTGAAGCCACAATAAAGACCGAAGCTGGGACAACAACGTTTAGAGACCAGTGACGCCTAGTCTGAAAGCGACCAGCTTCCCGTGATTTACGTGCTTCTGAAAAGCTTTCTCGTGCACGCCAGTTCCTTCGCCTCCGAGCGACTGACGGCATCTCTTCATTTCCTTACCTCGAACTTTTGGAGCGCCTTATGACCGCAAATCTTAATCTCCTCACTTAGATCGTCGTCGGCTCTTACCTGATGCCACCTCTTCGCCTCGGACTCACTACAGACTGGCGACGCTTCTCGCGGCGTTAATCTGGGCTCTTGCAGCGACTTGCAGCAGCCGTTGACTATCAGATAGAGTCTCGTAGGACTTCGTTTTGTTGTTCAAACATTCTCTGACAATCCCTGTAGCAGGAGGAGGAGGAGGAGAGCAGCAGCAGCAGCAGCAGCAGCGGTTTTGAACAGCTGGAGTAGCGGAATCTGCAGTTTATTGCAGCCATGGTCCGATCAACAGAATAGTAGGTTCTCTTCTTTCGTCAAACTCAACCTGAACATGCGGTTGCAATTCGCAAGGACCGATCTCAACCTATTACCTTGTTCTCACTTAATCAAATGCTGATGTGTTTATTTTCGTTCTTTCTGTCTCAATATGTTTTCCCCGTGTGTTCCTGTGTGTGTTCTGTTGCCTTTGGGTGTTGTGCGCGTGTGTTTGACCGTGTCTGGTGGTGTGACCGTGTCTGGTGGTGGTCCTTATTGGCTGGTTATGACCCTGGCCGTGATTCGTCGTTTTGCGTCTTTTTTGTCGTGATTTGTTGTGAATGTTCCTGTCTTTGGGCATGCTTGCTTGGGATTTTGAATCTACTTACCGTCGCGCGCACCATACGTCGCACGGCGACTCTTTCATCAACGCAGTCGCATCACAATGCCTGTTTCGCTAGAAGAGGTGAGACTGAGGCGAGCGGAGGGGAGACGGCGCGATGGGGAAGTGGGTCGAGCGCATGGAGCAGGCATGCATGTGTTTCGCGCGTGCCTCTGCGAGATTCCGAACCATCCACCAGTCCTGGCCGTTCCTTGCGCAACTTCTCGATGTTCATGCGAACTGGAATTCTCAGATGCACATCAGTCACATGTGTCAATTCCCTTCTTACCCTCCACACGCTCCATCCCTCCCGCATTTCCCCCCTCCCTGGCAGTACCGCATAGGGCAGGCGTACATGCGGTCGCGCATGCAGATGGAGAACACGCGCGGCAGCGAGGGCGTGGAGGTGGTGGCGTCGCAGCCGTTCAGCGACGAGCGCATGGGCGCGGGCCACATGGCGCACGTCGTCTACCACTTCCACAGCAAGGCGCCCGCGTGGCTCCGCGCGCTCGCCCCGCACGGCGCGCTCTGCCTCGAGGAGCAGAACTGGAATGCGTATCCGCGCAGCAAAACAGGTGCGGCGCAGAGGCAGAACAGGTAGCTCTCGCGCAGCAACACAGGTAGCTCTCGCGCAGCAAAACAGGTGAGGAGGAAGCAGGAAAACAGGAGACGAGTAGTGTCGTGTAAAGGTTGGAATATGAAGAGCTTTTTCCCATCGAGAACGCTCATTGCATGCATAATCACCCACTCCCCCTTCCAAACGTTCTCCCTTTTCTCCCTCCCTCCCATTTCTCTCGCTTCCTTCACGCGTCCGGCTATTGGCGCCTGCTCCCACCATCGAACATCAGTGCTCAAGGTATGTTCTGGAGCTCTTGCGCTGCTGCCTGTTACCGCCTGTCCAATGCGCACCCCCTGTCCCGCAATGCCTGTACTCCATTACAGTGGCCCTGTCCCCTTGCCGCACCCCATCCCACGCCTCATGCCACACCCCATGCCACACCCCTCACCTGGTCCCCGTCCCATGTCACATCCCATGCGCATGCACCCCTGCATCCCCTACCTCACCAAGTTCTCGACCGTGCTGCCCCCGTCCCCATGCCACACCCCATGCGCGCCCCTCTCACCCGCAGTGCCCGTACCTGACCAAGTTCTCCATCACCATCGAGTCCATACACCTCGCCGACAGAGGCGACTCCGAAAACGTGAGTCCGCATGTGTGGGAGGCATGGCAAGCAGGGTAGGGAGGGTGGGATGGCAGGGAGGCACAGGGAGGGACGGGGAGGCTTGGCGGGGGGCCATCGGGGGACGGCATGGCGGGGAGGGATGGTTGATTTTTATGCATGATGGATGGTACGCGTGGGTGTTGATGCATGAGGAATGGCATACGAGCCATGGGAGGTCCAGCAGCATACGAAGCGACAAAATGATTTTAATATATGGTGCACTCATTCCTCCGTTTCCCTCCTCTTCTCCTTATCTTATTCCTTCTCCCACTTTCCTTGTTTCTATCTTTCCTTATCTCCCTCCTCCGCCTTCCCGTCTTTCCCCCATCCCCTTTCCTCCCTGCAGGCGCTGGGCCTAAGTGAGGAGCAGGTGAAGCAGCGCAAGGTGGAGAGGGTGGACATAGCGAGCCATGAGCGGGACATGTGGACTCAGAGATGCCACTCTCGCACTCTCACTCTCCCCCTTAAATCTCTCCTGATTTTCCCTCCGTCCCCCCTCCTCTTCCCCTGCAGGCGCTGGGTCTAAGCGAGGAGCAGGTGAAGCAGCGCAAGGTGGAGAGGGTGGACATAGCGAGCCACGAGCGCGACATGTGGACGCGCCTCATCGCCAAGTCCGGAGTCGACCCCTCCAAGCTCGCCCTCCCCAAAGCCAAGCGCGGCCCCCTCGCTCCAGGCTGGCAGGTCGGTGCTGTGCTGTGTTGCCGAGTGGCCTCTTCCTCCTTCCTCGATCAGTGCATGTCACTAAAAGGATTTCTCTTGGCAAGCCGTCTTCTGCACCTGTGCGTGCCCCATCATGCATCCAGCTTCCTGAGACCAAAATCCGTTTGCTCCCCCAACATCCCCCCCCTCCCTGCCTCTCCCATGTCCCCTTCCCTCTCCCCATTCCCGTATCCACTCCCCTGCCCTGCCCTCACCCGCTCCCTTCCCCCTGGGGTGTGACACACTGGCGTGGTGGGGAGCAGGAGGCATGTGAGCCGGTGATGACGGCATACAAGATGGTCACGGTGGACGCACCCTATTGGGGCTTCGGCAAGAGGCTAGAGCTATTTGTACTGGCTGTAAGCTCTTTCCCACCACCCCTCCCAGTTGCATCTCGCTCGCACACCTCGCTGTGATTGCTAGTTTGTCTGACGAAGAACCACATGCTTCTCATATCATGCTCTCTGTGCATTGCTATTGCATTCAAGGTAACATGTCGATGGCTGGCCTCATGTTTGCTTATGTTCTCTCCTTCCTCTCTTCTCTTTTTGCTATCCTTACCGCTCCTCCCCTCTCCTTTCCTCTCCCTTTCCTCTCCCTTTCCTCTCCTCCCCTCTCCTCTTCCCCCTTCCCCTACTGGGCGAGCAGGGAGAGAGGGCATTATTTCTGGAGGGCCATAGGAAGATGTACGGGTGGATGGACGAGTGGTGTGAGCTCACAATGGACGATGTGCGCCGCATTGAGAAGGACAACATCGAGGCTATGCGCAAGGTGCCCTTCCTCCTCCGTTAAAGAGGTTCAAACAGATGTGCAAAAGGTGTAGTGTTGCAATTGCATGGACGAGTGGTTTGAGCTCACAATGGACGATGTGCGCCGCATTGAAAAAGACAGCATCGAAGCCATGCGCAACGTGGGTACATTTCCTCCCATTGAGACGTCCATGCGCAAGGTGTACTGCTGCTCTGTGGTAGTCCATTGAGGCCATGCACAGAGTGCAGTGCGGTAATGATAACAGTCATATTTGCTTTACAGACAGTTTACTGAGCGAGCGACAGTCCCTCCATTCACTTGTTGGGTTCACAATGCATAAGTTCGTGTAATTTGTCCCCCCCTCCCTCCCTGGCCTTTCTCGTTGCTGCAGAATCTTGCTCTCAACAACAAGGTGGCACCAGATGAGTACAACGAGGATGAGAGTAAAGCTGAGGTGGACGGGATCCATGATGACGCAGACAGCAGTGAAGCTGACTTGGAAGATAGCCCCAAGGCCAAGGGCAAAGCCGCAGAGGGTTAGTCATGAAGCCGCAGAGGGACAGTCCTTGAAACAAATGTTTCACTTTCAGCAAGTCCCTTGTGTAATTATATATTACCAATAATTGCATTGCATAGTGTGCTCTGCTCTCCCTATATAAAGATAATTTGTTCCCCTACATATATCGCAGTGTGGTGGTGAAAGGAGCAAGGGAGCTTTATTACAGCTTCATGTCTCCCCTATATTCCCTTCCCAACTTTCCACCACCTGACTAGCCCTAAATAATCAGCTAAGGTCGGCCACAGAGGGAATATAAAAGCCTCTCATTTCATGGCAAGCAAGCACACAAGTCAGTCAGCCCATGTGGTCCATGTCTGCTGCGCCATCATCAGGTTTGTCTATGCACACCGGCTCCCACTCGTCGTCTGCATGCACACACACAGGCAGACAGGGCAGCAGGCGCATAGGCAGGCACACAGAGGGAGTGGGGAGTGAGGGGGGTAGGGATATTGGCAAGTGTTGGAGGAAAGGTGGACCAGTGGGGCGGCAAGGTACGGTAACAGAAGCTGGATCCTTGAGAACAGACGGAAAAGATAATGGCGTGAGTGAGAAGGCGGCAAGGGGAGAGGCGGACCTGAGAGGCGGTATGTGAGTGCCACCACTGCATCATTCTCCACCTGCCACATGCATGCATGGGGCATGGACACATGGATGCATGGGGCATGGACACATGGATGCATGGGGCATGGACACATGGATGCATGGGGCATGGACACATGGATGCATGGGGCATGGACACATGGATGCATGGGGCATGGATAGGAACTGTGTTTTGAGCACATGGAAAAGCACATGGGGATGCACAGAGTAAAAGTCAGTTGTGTGATGCAGGGCAGCACGAGTGCTGACTACCCTTCCCTACCCTGATTCCGCGTCCTCCTTACCCGCTGCTCCGCCAGCGTTCGGTTGTCGTCGAGCGTGGCGCTGCTGTGCAGCAGAACGAGCGTAATGTTGCCCGCCGCCTACAGGTTCTGCTTCACCTGCAGCACCTTTTGAGGCGCCTCAAAAGTCTTACCCGCTGCTCTGCGAGCGATCTGTTGTCGTCAAGCGTGGCGTTGCTGTGCAGCAGCACGAGCCGAATGTCGCCCGCCGCCTGTCCGCACAGCACCTCCAGGTTCTGCTTCACCTGCAGCACCTTCTGCGAAGGCTCGCAGTAGAGGAAGTAGGTGGTCGCCCGCCGCTTGGCCCGCACGTACATCGACTGGCGGCGGTCCGGTGTTGGAGGGGGGAGAAGGGGGGGGGAGGAAGAGCGAACGCGGAGACGAGAGAAGGAGGGGAAGAGGGGACGGAAGGGGGAACACTTAAGGAACGGCCTGGAGGGGTGGGGACGCTGGGAGGATAAGGAAAAGAGGAAGTGGGCTCGGAAATTAACAAAATAAATTCGCGGACGCCTGGCGTCGTGGAGCGACGCTTCAGCGCGAGGAGGGGAGTAACGAGCGTCGCCGTTAACTGGTGTACCATGGAGGCCGGGAAGCGGGCCGCGAGGTGAACCGCGGGATACGACGGAGCGACCAAGGGCTGCGCTTGCTGACGCGATAGGCGCTACTGCAATCCGCTGCTACCGCACTCAGGTGCTCCTAGGGTCTCGTTCCCTAAAAGCGGTCTGAAATTCTTCTCCGCTCGGGGAGAACGTCGAATGGCAACCAATGCTTTAAACGGAGGAGCGCCGTGATATTGCTGCTCTGCGTGTCGGTTGGACGCAAACAGGGCTCCGCCGCGTGGGATTCGAAGGTTATGGGCCGTACCGGTACATGGAATGGAACACCGAGCGGTGGAATTGACAGAAGCTGTGGAACAATGGAGACTTCAGGAAGAGTGGCGACGAGTCATACTCGCTACCATGCACCTCGTGCTGGGAACCGAGTATACAGCGCAGCGAGTTATCGTAAACAGCGATATACGTACGAATGTGAAGCAAACTTGCCGACATTACTAAAAGGCTTCAGTTTATTCCGCGTTCGGCATATTCCCCTCGCGTGTGTTCATTCGTGCCGCCATCCAGCCACGGTTCCGCCCAGCCAATCCCTGCCCGTCAGCGTGGCTCGTTGCTTTTCGCCTTCTGCTGCCCCGTCAGCATGATCACCAGCCAGTGCGCTGCTGCATTGGCACAACTATCCACGAGGGAGTTGGCGCTGCTGCTCGCTTGATCCTCTAACCTTGGGAGTTTTTTTTAGCCACTTATTTTTCAGAGCGATTGCTGCTAGGGAGCCGCCACGCCATGCTCAGGAACTTGGCTGATCATTAGCCAGTTCATGTGCAGCGTTCCGTCTTTTTTCCCTCGATCCTCCGTCGTATGCGACGCAGTCTCCTAAGGGCGAAGCTACGTTATCGCAATGCATCCCGTTAGTCTCGCGGGTTCGGTCAGCGCGTCCGAAACAGCACGATCGTTCCTCGCGACGCCACGACCCTCGCAACGCGCTCGTCGCCGCAATGCCTCCAATTCCTCTTCGCACGGTCACATTGCGTCGCACAGCGCCGTCGATCGTCGCTTAAGCTCGCAGATCGCTCGTACCGCCTTCCCGTCCGCAGCAACACTCACATCAGCACCAGCACCGAACTCTCGATCCACTCGTCCACGTCAGCACGTCCCCGTGCGTGCAGCTGCTGACGGCGATGGCGGAGTCGATTATTCGGCCTCGGCCGAGGCGGTCGATGTGGCGGCGGAATCAGCGAGCTCGGCTTCCCAAGGTAGGTACCCAGTGTCCGTCCCTCTCGACGTTAACGTTGACCTCTTCGAGTTAGACTCCATACAACTCGCACAATTTCTCTTCCCTCGCGGATCTTCGGGACGTTTACGATCGTGTGCATCACTGCGTCGTGCGGAACTTCTCCCGTCAATCCAGGATCACCCGCCGTTGAGCCCAAGGCGCGCACCAAAACCTCCAGTAGCAGCAGCAGCAGCGGCGGCGGAGGAAGCAGCGGTAGCGGGGGTTCATCCGCGCTGGATAAGCTCCGCGAGCTGCTGCGCGCAGCGGAGGCGGAGCTGGAAAAGGCGTGCGCGCGGACCGTAGAGACGGAGGAGGAGGCGCGCAGGGTGGCGGAACGCGCCATAGAGATTTCCGACGCCGCCGCTAAGGCGGAAGCCGCCGCGGATGCCGCAATGGCGCAGGTGGAGGCGGAGCTGGCGGAGGAAGCGCTGGCGCAGGATGCGCTGCGGCAGGCTGACGTGGCGTTTCACGAGCAGGCGGAGGTGCTGGTGGCGGCGGAGGCGCAGCAACAGGCAGTGGAGGCGGGGATAGCGGGGATGGCGGAACAGGGGGTTAAGGAGGGGGAAAGCTTGCGGTCGGGCGTGGTTAGCTTAGTGCAGGAGGTGCGCGAGGAGCTGGCGCGGCGAGAGGCGGAGCTGAGAACGCGGACGGAGGCAGCCGCGCAAGCAACTGGAAGGCGGGTGAGGGCGCAGGAGGAGGCGTCCGCGCTGGTGGCAGCGGCGGGGGAGGCAAGGGCGCGCGCGGGGCAGGCGGAGGAGGAGGTGGGGGAGCGCATGGGCGTGGCGGAGAGGGCGGTGGCGTTCGAGCTGGAGGCGACTCAGAGCGTGGCGGAGGCCGCCAAGGCGCTGGCGAGGGCGGAGAAACTGGTTACTGATATCGCCAAGGTGTGTATGGGGCAAGGGGGATGCAGTGCAGTCTAGTGGTAAGAACTGGATCCCCTGCCAAGAACTCACCCTCATCACCTCTCTGCGTCACTACTTCCTCCCTATTTCCTCCGCCACCCATTTCCCCCCTATCCAGGCGGAGGCGGAGGCAGCAAAGCTAGCCGCGGAGAAGGCGACGCTGCTGGCAAGCGAAGTGGCGGGGGTGTCAGCAGCACTGCGCGCCACTGTGAAGGGCGGACGGGCCGCTGCTGGCATGCCCACCACTGACTCCGATAGCGACTCCGACAGGGACTCTGACAAGGACTCTGAAAGGGAGGCTGGTAGGGATGCGGATAGGGAAGTGGCTAGTGAGTTTAGCAGTGAGTCTAATCCGGAGGGGGTGAATGTGAAGGAAGGGGAGGAGAAGGCGATTTTGGGGGTGGTTGTTGCAGAGACGGTGGGGAAGGCAGAGGGAAAGGGGAAGAAGGGGGCGAAGGCTGGAGGGGAGGAGGGGGCAGTGGCGGATGGAGGGCGGACTGCGGTGGTCAGTGAGGGAGAGAAGGACGCGAGGAAGGATGGAGTGACGGACGGGGTGAAGGGAAGAGGGGAGGCTGATCTGGGACCCAGCGGCCTGGCAGGCACGGGTGCTGCAGATGTGATTAAGGGCGATGGGGGGGAGGCCGGAAGCGAGGAGGAGGAGGTGGAGGAACTAACAGCTGTTGCCACATCCGCTTCAGCAGTCCCCGGCTCAGATGAAGCCACTGCCACTCCTCCTGCTGGCCCCTCCTCCGCTCCATCTTCCAAGTCACCCTCCTCCTCTTCGTCCTCCTCTTCCTCCTCTTCCTCCTCCTCTGCATCACCCACCAAAAAGTCATCCCAGTTCTTCTCAGCGTCCTTCTTCTCAGCGGACGGGCACGAGGTGGAGGATGCACTCAAGTGGGTGCGATCCGCACTGCCCCCGCTGCTGCGACACCTGCCCAAGCTGCTGCTCGCCCTCACCGTGCTCCTCCTCGGGTCAGTGCCGCCTGCCACTCCCAGAGTGCTGCGTGCTGCTCCCAAAGTTATGCGGCATGCCTGCCTGCTTCTCTACTTCCTGACCAATACACCTCTGTGCGCCGGGCAGCATGATTGCCGCTGACTTTTGCTCCTCCTCTTCGCTTATAGAGCATCTTGCCTGGCTCGCTGTTCCATCTCGCTTCCCTTCCACGCTCCTCCTCCGTGCTCCGTTCCCCCTCATTGCTCTTCCCTCTCTTCCCTTCCCCTCACCACCCATCCCAGGGGCTTTGTGCTCAGTGCGCGCATGACGCACAGGGCAGGCGATTTTTTAGGCGCCTAAGAATCCTCTTCCCCTTTTCCCGTTCCCCCACCACACCAGCGGCTTTGCGCTCAAAGCGCGCATGGCGCACAGGGCAGGGGGGCACGCGCCCCCCGCCACAGTCGTACAGATGGAAGCCATGCAGGGAGGGGGACTGGCTGGGCCTGCAGGGGACGCTGCCACGCACCCAGCAGCAGCAGGGTGGGCGGCGGGGCAGCAGCAGCAGGTGCAGGGGCCGGTTGCTACAGGTAACCCGGTGGTGTCTGCAGTGCAGGCAGCTGTGGGGCGGGCCAAGGCGCTCATTGACAAACTGCCCCGACACGAGGTGAGTAACGTGCATGCAGGTGTTGCCAGGACACTGTTCCGCATCATTCCCCCCGTCCTCTTCCTTCCTCTCCCCTCATTCCCCCGTCTTCTCTTTCCCCCATCGCTGGGCTGTTCCCATGGAGCTGAGAGCCCTGCCTGTGCCTGGTTTTCCAACTCCATCACTCACTGTTCCTCGCTGCTTTCCTGCCAAGCCTCTGCCCTCTCCCTGTGTGCTCATCCGCCCACTCCCATCGTTCCTCCTCTCTCCCTTCCCGTACCCCCTCCCGCACCAGCCGAACGAGGAGGAGACACAGCTGTTTGACGTGCTGTGGCTGCTGCTCGCCAGTGTCGTCTTCGTCCCCATCTTCCAGAAGCTGCCCGGAGGTACTCTCGCTCCCACTCACCATGCCATGCTGCTGCCTTGCCATGCTGCTGAGATTTCTCAAACGCCTGCTGGGCGCCCATGTGCGTGCATTGCATGCATGGCACCAAGGCTTATTACTCCCTGTGCGCTCACTCCCTCGCACCTCCTTCCCCATGTCTGTTGTCCTGTCACCGTCACCACAGGCAGCCCCGTGCTGGGGTACTTGGCAGCGGGGGCGCTCATCGGCCCGTACGCACTCTCCATCATAAAGCACGTGCACGGCACTAAGGCACTGGCAGAGTTTGGCGTGGTCTTCCTCATGTTCAACATTGGCCTCGAGGTCAGTCCGTCTCTCGTGCTGTCTTTTGCTTGCACTGAGTGGGAGGTGGGTGACGTTGCTGCCATGTTGGTTAAATGGGAGGCGGGTGAGTGACATGGGAGGCAGGTGAGTGACATGGGAGGCGGGTGAGTGACATGGGAGGCAGGTGAGTGACATGGGAGGTGGGTGCACCAATGCACTGGCAGAGTTTGGCGTTGTCTTCCTCATGTTCAACATCAGTCTCGAGGTCAGTTAGCGCTGCGGTTCCATGGCGGACTATGCAATCGGAATCCACAACTACTACCATGTTCTCACGTGACTGTCAACCTTCTCGATTAGGCCATCTTTTCGCTCACTCTCTCCATCATCGCCTCTTCACTTGCCCTCTCACCCCACGTCCCTCTCTCCCTGTCAAACCCCCTTCCCCCACGGCCACACCAGCTGTCTCTGGAGCGCCTCCGCTCCATGCGCAAATACGTCTTTGGACTCGGCTCAGCTCAGGTGTGTGTGTGAACGCGGTCTGTTGCGCACCGCCTGTTTCCCACTGCCTTTTGCCCTCTGCCTGTGTCCCTCGCTTCTTCTCCCTTCCCTAGATTCTCTATTCCCCTTTTCACAATCTCTTCTGCCACCCCAATTGAACACCTCTGCTCATCTGTTCAATCCCTAGTTTTGTTTAAGCCATCCCATATGTCTAATCTCTACTTCTCTCCCTCGTCTCCCCCCTCTCTCCCTACCGGTACTGCCAGGTGTTGGTGTCAGCGCTGGCGATAGGGCTGTGTGTGCTGGCAGTGGCGCGTGTGTCGGGCCCAGCAGCCATTGTCATTGGCAACGGCCTTGCCCTCTCCTCCACCGCCGTTGTCCTCCAGGTGGGTGGGTCTCTGCTGTTGTGCCTCAGCTGGGTCTCTGCTACATGCTTTATTTTCACACTTGAAAGAGCCAGTCTACATGCTTGCAACCCCACCCCACGGCCCACCCATTCCTCCACCCTTCACACCGCATCCAACCGCCTCCTCCCTCTGCTCCTCTTTGCCGCCCGTCAGGTGCTGCAAGAGCGAGGGGAGAGCACGTCGCGCCATGGGCGAGCCACCTTCTCCGTGCTGCTCTTCCAGGTGCTGCTCGCACGCTTGCACGCTTGCTTGCATGCGTGCATCCGTCTTTGCCTTTCATGCACCCCATGCCACTCAGCACTCTGCTCGCACCTTTGCATTCTGCATTCATTTGCGACTTGAGAGCATCCCTACTGCTCTAGAAAGGATGTGGTTATTCCCTGCCACTCCTACCCCCCACCCACCCCTTCACGGCCATCTCTACAATGCCACACCAGTCCCATTAAACACCCGTTCAGTGACAGGGCACTTTCCCTTGTGTAACACATTCCATCCCATCCCATCCCATCACAGCCCGTCCTTCTCAACACTCTCTGTTGGATAACCCGTCCTTTCCTCTCATACCCCCCCGTGCGCCATGCGCCATGTGCCATGCGCCATGTGCCATGCGCCATGTGCCATGCGCCATGTGCCATGCCACAGGATCTAGCAGTGGTGGTGTTGCTCATCCTCATTCCGCTTCTCTCCCCCAACTCCACCGGAGGGGTGAGTGCACGTCCCTCTTCCCGTCCTCCTCTCGTCTCTCTCTGCTCGCCTCACATCACAGTCCAGTCTGCCCACACACTTCCTCCCTCCCACATGGTTTAGTAACTTCATAACTATCCATATCTGCACCCCTCGTGTTCCATCACATCACATGCAAGGAACTGCTCTATTCAGCTCCAACAACCACCTCTCCTACACAGCACTGATTGTACTCATCTCATCTCCCTCTATCTCTGTTCAACCCCCACCAGGGCGTGGGGTTCAGGGCGATAGCGGAGGCGCTGGGGGTGGCGGCAGTGAAGGCTGTCATCGCCATTGCAGGCATCATTGCCGGCGGCCGACTGGTGCGTGCTGCGGATGGGCGGTTGGGGGCTGGCTGAGGCTGAGGGTTTTGGGGATTCTGAGTGCTGTTTGGAGAACCATGATTGATCCTCGTCTTTGTTTCCAATCAACACATTCAACCCACACCAACCCCTCACCCCCCATCTCTCCCAGCTGCTGCGCCCCATGTACCGCAGCATGGCGGAGAATCACAACGCAGAGATCTTGATCCCATGCCGGCCCTCTCACCCTTTTTCACCCCCTCTCACCCCTTCTCACCGCCTCACACCCCTGCTCCCTTCCCCAGCTGCTGCGCCCCATGTACCGCAGCATGGCGGAGAATCACAACGCGGAGATCTTGATCCCATGCCGGCCCTCTCACCCTTTCTCGCCCCCTCTCACCCCTTCTCACCGCCTCACACCCCTGCTACCTTCCCCAGCTGCTGCGCCCCATGTACCGCAGCATGGCGGAGAACCACAACGCGGAGATCTTTGCCGCCAACACGCTGCTCGTGGTGCTCGGCACCTCCGTGCTCACCGCCCGGGTGAGGGGATGTGGTTGCAAGGGTGACGGGAGGGGGAGGGAGAGAGAGAGGGTGAGGCATGTTGGGGAAGCTGCCAACACGCTGCTCGTGGTGCTCGGTACCTCCGTGCTCACTGCCCGGGTGAGGATGGTGGGGTGGGGAGGGCGGGAGGGCGGGAGGGCGAAGTGGGAAGGGAGGGGAGGGCGGGAGGGTGAGGCGTTCTGGGGGTATAGGGGGGAATGCCAACACACTGCTCGTGGTGCTGGGTACCTCCGTGCTCACTGCCCGAGTAAGAGGGGGATGGGTGCGGTGCCGGGCATGAGGGTGCAGCGAGGGTGATGTAGTGGCCAGGGTGGTTGGCTTGGCGAGGGCATGGGTGAGAGGACGCTGTGCTGGTGTCAGGGCTAGGGAGGGCACTGTTTTTTCCCAAGCTTATCACACATTCAATTGCCGTGCGGCGTGCGCTACTGCCATGCTCGCCTCGCCTCGCACCCCTTACCTTTCCCTGCTGTGAAATCTCTTCAACCCCATGCACATCCATCCGTCCATGCGTGGCAGGCGGGGCTGTCCATGGCGCTGGGAGCGTTCCTCGCAGGCCTGCTGCTCTCAGAGACCGAGTTCGCCCTGCAGGTGCGTCGCTACATACTCCACTGTTTGGCTGTTTGGCTGTCGGCAGACAAAGGCGGCTGGATCCATGGAGGCAGAAGCAGGGGGCTGGATGATGCGCGCGTGCACCTGTGGGGTCTGTCTGTGTGTCTCTGAAACGTCTCACTCTGCCATCCTCGCCCACCGCTTTCTGCTGCCCTCACCACTCGTGCACCCCCACGCTTTCAGCTGCTCGCTTTGCCTGCCCACCTCCACTCTCTATCACCCTTTCCACCACCCTTCCCCTTCGCCCTTCACCCGTCCACCTGACCCTCCCCCTGGTTGTGCAACGCACAGGTGGAGTCAGACATGAACCCGTACCGCGGGCTGCTACTAGGGCTCTTCTTCATGACTGTACGTTGCACACCACACATGCTCGTGCAACCACATGTACCACCTGCACTGCACTGCATTCACACGCATGCCCCCCCACAAATAGACGGCTTTTGAAGCGCCTGAAAAGTGCCCCTGCGCGAATTCTTCCCACCAATAGCGACCGCACCCTCCCCTGCGCGAATTCTCACTCGCGTCATCTCACGCGTGTCCTCACCGTCGTGCCCACATACCTGCCGTCTGCCTGCTGCTCATGCACCTTTCACACGCTCTCCCCCTTACCGCGCATCCCTCTTCAACCCCCATATCCTCCCCACCCTCCACAGGTGGGCATGTCAATCGACCCCAAGCTGCTGGTGGCGCGTTTCCCCCTCATCCTGGCAGCCCTCGCGGTGCTCATAGCGGGCAAGACCGCACTGCTGGCGGGCATGGGGCGCCTCTTCGGCCTCTCGCCCGTTGCTGCTGTGCGCACGGGCCTGCTGCTCGCCCCTGGCGGGGAGTTCGCGTTCGTCGCCTTTGGGGAGGCTGTCAGCAAGGTGAGCGTGGGGGTAAGCAAGGGGCGGAGCTTGGGTGGAGGAGGGGAAAGGGAAGGGGGGGAGGGGAGAGGGTTTTCTTTGGCGGGCATGCGGCGCCTCTTTGGCCTCTCGCCCGTTGCTGCTGCTCGCACCCGGAGGGGAGTTCGCGTTCGCTGCGTTGGGGGAGGCTGTCAGCAAGGTGCGTTCGTTTAGAGAATGGGGTCCCGGTGTTGCCTCGTGCACCTGCTGGCGCTCTCGCTCTTCACTTTGCGCTCACTTCTCTCCCCTCCACTCCTCTCTCCCTTCCATCCCTTCTTTATCACCATTCCCATCTCCTCCCCATCCTCTTCCCATCCACATCCCCCTTCCACTTCCCTTTCCCCATCCCCATCCCTATCAGGGCATCATGAGCGCACAACTCTGTTCGCTGCTGTTCATAGTGGTGGGGCTCAGCATGGCCATCACGCCATGGCTCGCCTATTCCTGTCCCCATCTCAACCCCCTTCCCATTCCCCTCCCGCACCTTCCACCAACAGGGCATAATGAGCGCACAACTCTGTTCGCTGCTGTTCATAGTGGTGGGGCTCAGCATGGCCATCACGCCATGGCTCGCCTATTCCTGTCCCCATCTCAACCCCCTTCCCATTCCCCTCCCGCACCTTCCACCAACAGGGCATAATGAGCGCACAACTCTGTTCGCTGCTGTTCATAGTGGTGGGGCTCAGCATGGCCATCACGCCATGGCTCGCCTATTCCTGTCCCCATCTCAACCCCCTTCCCATTCCCCTCCCGCACCTTCCACCAACAGGGCATAATGAGCGCACAACTCTGTTCGCTGCTGTTCATAGTGGTGGGGCTCAGCATGGCCATCACGCCATGGCTGGCAGCAGTGGGGCAGCTCATCGCCTCGCGCTTTGACCAGCAGGACGTGCGCTCGCTGCAGCCACATGAGGCCGAGGTGAGCGAGATGCCCATTTCGTATGCCCACTTCATGTTCCGTTCCATGGGGGCTTCATCTCCAACTGCCTTGAGTGGAGGACGTGACGTGCACCATCTGCACCCACACGAGCTCAGGTCACTTGCCCTCTCGCACTCTCTGCTCCATATCACCGCTGCTTCACTTCACCCGATTAAACACTACTTCCTCAATTCAACTTCTCTCGCCCCATCGTCTCATTTGGCCCCTCACCCCCCTTCTCTCTGCCTCTCGCCTCGCCAATCCAATGCCCGCACAACAGACGGACGATCTGCAGGGTCACATTATCATCTGCGGCTTCGGCCGCGTGGGTCAGGTGAGCCTTCTGTTCTGCCATATGAGCTTTTCTAACATCGTTGCTATCGGCTTGCACTCGCTTCTCATGTCACACCCGTCCCTCACACCTGTCCCTCACACCCATCCCTCACACCCATCCCTCCCCCCAATGGCTCGCAACAGATCATAGGCCAGCTGCTGTCGGAGCGCCTGATCCCCTTTGTGGCTCTCGACGTGAGCAGTGAGCGGGTCAGCGCTGGCCGCTCCCTCGACCTCCCCGTCTACTTCGGTGATGCTGGCAGCCGCGATGTCAGTGCCTCCCCCTTCCCCACCTCCTCCCCTCTGCATTTCCCGCCTGCCCTCATTTCCGTTTCCTTGTACTTCGAACCTGCACCTCAAACCTGACGTCAAACCTGCACCTCAAACCTGACGTCAAACCTGCACCTCAAACCTGACGTCAAACCTGCACCTCAAACCTGCACATCAAACCTGCACCTCAAACCTGACGTCAAACCGGCACCTCAAACCTGACGTCAAACCTGCACCTCAAACCTGCACATCAAACCTGCACCTCAAACCTGACGTCAAACCTGCACCTCAAACCTGACGTCAAACCTACACCTCAAACCTGACGTCAAACCTGCACCTCAAACCTGACGTCAAACCCGCACCTCAAACCTGGCGTCACACCTGCACCTCAAACCTGCACCTGACGTCAAACCTGCACCTCAAACCTGACGTCAAACCTGCACCTCAAACCTGACGTCAAATTTGCACCTCAAACCTGACGTCAAACCTGCACCTCAAACCTGACGTCAAACCTGCACCTCAAACCTGACGTCAAACCTGCACCTCAAACCTGACGTCAAACCTGCACCTCAAACCTGACGTCAAACCTGCACCTCAAACCTGACGTCAAACCTGCACCTCAAACCTGCACCAAACCTGCACCTCAAACCTGACGTCAAACCTGCACCTCAAACCTGACGTCAAACCTGCACCTCAAACCTGACGTCAAACCTGCACCTCAAACCTGACGTCAAACCTGCACCTCAAACCTGACGTCAAACCTGCACCTCAAACCAGCACCTCAAACCTGCACCTCAAACCTGACGTCAAACCTGCACGTCAAACCTGCACCTCAAACCTGCACCTCAAACCTGACGTCAAACCTGCACCTCAAACCTGACGTCAAACCTGCACCTCAAACCTGACGTCAAACCTGCACCTCAAACCTGACGTCAAACCTGCACCTCAAACCTGACGTCAAACCTGCACATCAAACCTGACGTCAAACCTGCACCTCAATCCTGCACCTGACGTAAAACCTGCACCTCAAACCTGACGTCAAACCTGCACCTCAAACCTGACGTCAAACCTGCACCTCAAACCTGACGACAAACCTGCACCTCAAACCTGACGACAAACCTGCACCTCAAACCTGACGTCAAACCTGCACCTCAAACCTGACGTCAAACCTGCACCTCAAACCTGCACCTCAAACCTGCACCTCAATCCTGACGTCAAACCTGCACCTTAAACCTGCACCTCAAACCTGACGTCAAACCTGCACCTCAAACCTGACGTCAAACCTGCACCTCAAACCTGACGTCAAACCTGCACATCAAACCTGACGTCAAACCTGCACCTCAATCCTGCACCTCAAACCTGACGTAAAACCTGCACCTCAAACCTGACGTCAAACCTGCACCTCAAACCTGACGTCAAACCTGCACCTCAAACCTGACGACAAACCTGCACCTCAAACCTGACGTCAAACCTGCACCTCAAACCTGACGACAAACCTGCACCTCAAACCTGACGTCAAACCTGCACCTCAAACCTGACGTCAAACCTGCACCTCAAACCTGACGTCAAACCTGCACCTCAAACCTGCACCTCAAACCTGACGTCAAACCTGCACCTCAAACATGCACCTCAAACCTGCACCTCAAACCTGCACCTCAATCCTGACGTCAAACCTGCACCTTAAACCTGCACCTCAAACCTGACGTCAAACCTGCACCTCAATCCTGATGTCAAACCTGCACCTTAAACCTGCACCTCAAACCTGACGTCAAACCTGCACCTCAAACCTGACATCAAACCTGCACCTCAAACCTGACGTCAAACCTGCACCTCAAACCTGACCTCAAACCTGCACCTCAAACCTGCACCTCAAACCTGACGTCAAACCTGCACCTCAAACCTGACGTCAAACCTGCACATCAAACCTGACGTCAAACCTGCACCTCAATCCTGCACCTCAAACCTGACGTAAAACCTGCACCTCAAACCTGACGTCAAACCTGCACCTCAAACCTGACGTCAAACCTGCACCTCAAACCTGACGACAAACCTGCACCTCAAACCTGACGTCAAACCTGCACCTCAAACCTGACGACAAACCTGCACCTCAAACCTGACGTCAAACCTGCACCTCAAACCTGACGTCAAACCTGCACCTCAAACCTGACGTCAAACCTGCACCTCAAACCTGCACCTCAAACCTGACGTCAAACCTGCACCTCAAACATGCACCTCAAACCTGCACCTCAAACCTGCACCTCAATCCTGACGTCAAACCTGCACCTTAAACCTGCACCTCAAACCTGACGTCAAACCTGCACCTCAATCCTGATGTCAAACCTGCACCTTAAACCTGCACCTCAAACCTGACGTCAAACCTGCACCTCAAACCTGACATCAAACCTGCACCTCAAACCTGACGTCAAACCTGCACCTCAAACCTGACCTCAAACCTGCACCTCAAACCTGCACCTCAAACCTGACGTCAAACCTGCACCTCAAACCTGACGTCAAACCTGCACCTCAAACCTGACGTCAAACCTGCACCTCAAACCTGACGTCAAACCTGCACCTCAAACCTGCACCTCAAACCTGACGTCAAACCTGCACCTCAAACCTGCACCTCAAACCTGCACCTCAAACCTGACGTCAAACCTGCACCTCAAACCTGCACCTCAAACCTGCACCTCAAACCTGACGTCAAACCTGCACCTCAAACCTGCACCTCAAACCTGCACCTCAAACCTGCACCTCAACCCTGATGTCAAACCTGCACCTCAAACCTGACGTCAAACCTGCACCTGACGTCAAACCTGCACCTCAAACCTGACGTCAAACCTGCACCTCAAACCTGACGTCAAACCTGCACCTCAAACCTGACGACAAACCTGCACCTCAAACCTGACGTCAAACCTGCACCTCAAACCTGACGTCAAACCTGCACCTCAAACCTGACGTCAAACCTGCTCCTCAAACCTGCACCTCAAACCTGACGTCAAACCTGCACCTCAAACATGCACCTCAAACCTGCACCTCAAACCTGCACCTCAATCCTGACGTCAAACCTGCACCTTAAACCTGCACCTCAAACCTGACGTCAAACCTGCACCTCAAACCTGACGTCAAACCTGCACCTCAAACCTGACGTCAAACGTGCACATCAAACCTGACGTCAAACCTGCACCTCAATCCTGCACCTCAAACCTGACGTAAAACCTGCACCTCAAACCTGACGTCAAACCTGCACCTCAAACCTGACGTCAAACCTGCACCTCAAACCTGACGACAAACCTGCACCTCAAACCTGACGTCAAACCTGCACCTCAAACCTGACGACAAACCTGCACCTCAAACCTGACGTCAAACCTGCACCTCAAACCTGACGTCAAACCTGCACCTCAAACCTGACGTCAAACCTGCACCTCAAACCTGCACCTCAAACCTGACCTCAAACCTGCACCTCAAACCTGCACCTCAAACCTGACGTCAAACCTGCACCTCAAACCTGACGTCAAACCTGCACCTCAAACCTGACGTCAAACCTGCACCTCAAACCTGACGTCAAACCTGCACCTCAAACCTGACGTCAAACCTGCACCTCAAACCAGCACCTCAAACCTGCACCTCAAACCTGACGTCAAACCTGCACCTCAAACCTGCACCTCAAACCTGCACCTCAAACGTGACGTCAAACCTGCACCTCAAACCTGCACCTCAAACCTGCACCTCAAACCTGCACCTCAAACCTGCACCTCAAACCTGCACCTCAAACCTGCACCTCAAACCTGCACCTCAAAACTGACGTCAAACCTGCACCTCAAACCTGACGTCAAACCTGCACCTCAAACCTGACGTCAAACCTGCACCTCAAACCTGACGTCAAACCTGCACCTCAAACCTGACGTCAAACCTGCACCTCAAACCTGACGTCAAACCTGCACCTCAAACCTGACGTCAAACCTGCACCTCAAACCTGACGTCAAACCTGCACCTCAAACCTGACGTCAAACCTGCACCTCAAACCTGACGTCAAACCTGCACCTCAAACCTGACGTCAAACCTGCACCTCAAACCTGACGTCAAACCTGCACCTCAAACCTGCACCAAACCTGCACCTCAAACCTGACGTCAAACCTGCACCTCAAACCTGACGTCAAACCTGCACCTCAAACCTGACGTCAAACCTGCACCTCAAACCTGACGTCAAACCTGCACCTGAAACCTGACGTCAAACCTGCACCTCAAACCAGCACCTCAAACCTGCACCTCAAACCTGACGTCAAACCTGCACCTCAAACCTGCACCTCAAACCTGCACCTCAAACCTGACGTCAAACCTGCACCTCAAACCTGACGTCAAACCTGCACCTCAAACCTGACGTCAAACCTGCACCTCAAACCTGACGTCAAACCTGCACCTCAAACCTGACGTCAAACCTGCACATCAAACCTGACGTCAAACCTGCACCTCAATCCTGCACCTGACGTAAAACCTGCACCTCAAACCTGACGTCAAACCTGCACCTCAAACCTGACGTCAAACCTGCACCTCAAACCTGACGACAAACCTGCACCTCAAACCTGACGACAAACCTGCACCTCAAACCTGACGTCAAACCTGCACCTCAAACCTGACGTCAAACCTGCACCTCAAACCTGACGTCAAACCTGCACCTCAAACCTGACGTCAAACCTGCACCTCAAACCTGACGTCAAACCTGCACCTCAAACCTGCACCTCAAACCTGACCTTAAACCTGCACCTCAAACCTGCACCTCAAACCTGACGTCAAACCTGCACCTCAAACCTGACGTCAAACCTGCACCTCAAACCTGACGTCAAACCTGCACCTCAAACCTGACGTCAAACCTGCACCTGACGTCAAACCTGCACATCAAACCTGACGTCAAACCTGCACCTCAATCCTGCACCTGACGAAAAACCTGCACCTCAAACCTGACGTCAAACCTGCACCTCAAACCTGACGTCAAACCTGCACCTCAAACCTGACGACAAACCTGCACCTCAAACCTGACGACAAACCTGCACCTCAAACCTGACGTCAAACCTGCACCTCAAACCTGACGTCAAACCTGC